ACAAAGCCTAGAATGTTTACTGTCTGGACCTTCACAGGGAGAGAGTGCAGACCCTGCCCTGGAATCCGGTGGTCATGGCAGCAACAAAGTCCTGCCAGTGTGTAGGCTCAGCACAGACAGCTCCTGTGCTCTGCTGTCACCCCATTTACTCCCCTCCCCACCCTCAGAGGGAGAGGCTTCAACGTCCCCATTTTACACATGAGAAAACTGAGGCTCATTTGCTTTGAATTATTGACCAAGTGGTGAGGGAAGTTTTGAACCCCGGTGTTCTGATTTCAAAGCCACATCTCAATCCTGATTTTTAGAAGGTGGAGGTCCAGGCACTGGGGACCCTCTACCTTCCTCACCTGTAGTTGTAGTCTGGGGCCACCATTCCTGAGGCGTCTGGGTGAACACACTTAATCTGCTTACTCTGCACCAGCTGAGCCCCTGGCTGCCACTCTGCTGTCGCTGCCTGACACCAGCTGAGGTTTTACAAGTGAACCATCACTCCCCTGCCAGCCCACCTGCCCTGCCATGTGGGGCAGGTCCCTTTTAGCCTGGTCATTCTAAATCCTTAGCGCACACATTTGCACAACTGCATCAAAAGAGCCCCATTCCCTGTGTGGAGGTGTTGACAAGGGGAAAGGAGGAGAGTTTGGGGCGGTCCCTTACTCTGAAGGTGACACGTGAAAAGGACACATTCATGTCCATATTGGCACTCAGTTTGAAGCTAAGGACGTGGTCCCAGCGAGGGATAAACGCTGAGAGGCTACAAGGCTGCTGAGAAATGGGCTTGACTATTGGATTGCAAATGTGTAATTTAATTTAAAAATCAGCCCCCTGGATGATAAGAATTTGCCCCTAATGCCAGAATTGGCCACCTGACCCTTGGACACCCCTCAGTTCCAGGATGTAATTATCTGAGCATGGGGGGGCTTAACTTGTGGTACTGTCCTCTCAGTCATGGTGCACCTGCCCACGTGTGCACCCATGGACTGCAGTGCTCACACATCAAGGCGCCTCTCATGCCCGGCCAAGGAGGTCCAGGTCATAAGGAAGGAATGACAGACTGTGAGGTCACACGTGTGCCTTTGCAGGGG